TCATCTGAATGGTATAAAGGAGGGTTTTGACTCCTTTATAAGGTACGGAACCCTAGCTGCCTCACACTAACAACTGTAAAAGAAAGAGAATGGCTCTTCTTTTGACCATCTTAGATCGTTCAAAGCATCAAATCCTTTCTTTTTCTATTTGTTTTTTTCACTACAAACACAAACATATACATCTGTTGTCATGGAATTAATGAATATCTGATGGTCCTCTGCATATTCATTTTCATATATAATTCAACAAATCATTACTTCTGGTCAGAATAAACGTTATCCAGGTCACGCCAGCCTTCTCCTCCCAATAGCATAGAACCAGAACGTGCAAATTATTGGTGGACCATATCAGAAAAGTTTACATAAGATATAGCTACAGAATCCTGTATCACGTATGTCATATACGAATAAAACCATTTATAATATCGCAAAGTGTACCAAATTATCTGTTTGGTCAATGAGAAAAACTTATAATCCGTCGTACAAAAATTTTTAATGGATTAAATATTAACATTTGATGGATGATAAAATACTCAAACTATTGATATTCTTTGACATTCCGAACCAGTAATGGTAAAGGTGAAGAGAGCGGAGTTGAAAGGACTGAGATAACGAGCATCTTCTCTTTACGGAGAGATGGTGTGAGTCTCTGTTGAGAGAGCAATCTTTGTCATATAAAAATGCCTTAACCTCGGCCTCTGGTTTGACTTGTGAACAGAGACGTCTTGTGGAGATGTGACCATGGATATATCTGGTAGTGGACCAAGAAGAATTGAAGGGAATAAGATGTTCTTTAATTTTTATTTTTTCTGGGTATCTTCAAAGTGAGAAAACCGAATCTACTAGCTACCTTTTTGGAGTCAAAAGCGTGTGTTCCTGGATCCTCCATGCTTCAAAAGTCAAAGCTTTCTGCTCCCTCTTGTTTTCTATATAACTGCATCCACCGTATTCGATCTCCAGTAGAGAGCCATTCATTCTTTACCAAGGTTGAAAAACCTTATCTGCAACTTTATATTCCTTTGCCGAAAGTAAAGGATCCAGATTAAAATTCTGATGAACCATGAAATGAAAGTTTTACAAATTTTAATTATCTCGCAGCCGACTCGATCCCCACATGCACAATGCTTTCATGACCCGACTGTTTAGTCACAGATTAAATCACCCATCTTGGTAATTATAGATTTTCTATCACTCGTAAAGTTGAAGTTATTTCCCTAATAAGAACTTTTTAAGAGGGATAGTCTCAATTTTGGGTAGATGCATGGGAAAAAGTAACAAAAGTTAAAATCTTTTGACTAGATATTGAGATAAAAAGCGAGAGATAAGGTTCATCTTGCAACTGGTTCATGATTCTAGCCGATGTTTGTTCCTTTTACAGTACTAAAAAAGCATCTGTAAATAATGAATGAAGATTAGCCACTCTTTTTCAACTGTATGGATCTAGGACTTTTAATAAAAATTTAATATCAATAACGTAACACAAAATTTCGGCCGCTAATTTGACTAGTATATTTTATATTTCAGCTGCATTACTGGTAATGTAGAGATGTGCTTCATCTCAAAGCATCCTTGCCTTTGCACTGTGTGTTGTTTCAGTAATGTTTCCAATGCCAATGCATAAATAAAAACCATATATAATGCTGCGAAAAACGTTGCTTAAAGATGGTAATTTAATCTCAAGAATTAACCAAGTTTAAGAAATAACAAAGATAGAAGGTGACAATATTGTTCTAACCAATTTGTATCGGTGGCATCTCCCAGTCTATTCCAGATGAATCGGGTAACACTTTGGGTGGAATCTCAATGCATATATATCAACTACAGTCCGCAAACTGGACAGTAAAAATGACAAAAGTTGCAAGTTGACTTGCTGAGAGCTTGTTTCATTATGTGCTCAATCTTAACCAAATCATAAAGCAGAACTGGTCTCCATCAACAGAGATATCTGAAATTAAGACTCTGATAGATAGAAGGAATCTTAACCCAATTAAACATGTACATACTCGTATATTATAACAGACGCAGAATTAGCATCAGCAGCAGGTGCAGTATGCTGGTTGAACAGTGGGCCCCCAAGCATCTGGATCACTACGAATGTGGTTTGTTAGGATGATGGAGCCAGGTTCATACAAACTCAGGTAAATGGTCTCAAGGAATCAATCCCTGCTTCAAGCTGGAAGCAATAATAATTCCTCCTCCTCTGACCTATATAAATACTCAATCACACTAACCTTCCTCACCAGTGATCTCTTCTAGCTATTACCTGCATCTTGAGAGATACTGTACTAGCTAAAACTTAAGTAATTTCAGTCATGGTCAACAGAATGGAGTCTTCAGAAACCCTAAGGTAACCCCTCTCTCTCTCATACACACACGTGTCTTGAGATTTGAGAACTAATGTTATTAAAAAAATTCAAGTGCTTCTTAGTTTGTGGATGATGCATCATCAATGCTAGAAATTGAAAATTATGTTGATGCAATCATCTTTTTTTTTGTCAAGAGTTTAAATCATTTTCCCCCTTTATTTATGTAGGCATTAGCATGAATTTTATTTATTTCTGTATTGATTGATATGGTTACTATGATTAAGCAGGAACAAGTGTGCTGCATGCTTCAAACAATTCAACAGAATGGAACACCTTGTGGAGCACATGAGAACTTCATTTCACTCGGTTCACGAACCCATATGTACAGTTTGTAAGAAACATTGCAGATCTTTTGAATCTCTGCGGGAACATCTTATAGGTAAACTTTAAATAATTCTCCATAGAATCAACTTCTAATCTTTGGATACTCATAGGGGCCGATTATAATACAGTAAATTTCTATTACAGGCCCATTGCCTAAACTGGAGTGCAAAAATATATTCAACGTCCGAGGATGTAGATTCTGCTTAACCATCCTCGACAGCCCAAATGCTCATAGGATTCACCAAGAAAGATGCCAGCTTTCTAATGTAAATACTGTATTAGCCTTCGACTATAGTTATGTTTCTGACACTATTTCTTACCATCAATTTCTTGTTTTAGGGACTTACTGCTCGCTTAGCGAATTTAGGCCTTCGCGATAATGCAACTGTGGATAACACTTATTCAAGAAATCCACAAATAGTTGCACTAGCTTGCAAAATGGTTGGTGGGGGCACTGATGGCTCTCTAGATTATTGTGGAAGGGTTTGCATCATTGATGAACGTGAAAATATCATCTTCCATGCTTATGTTAAACCGCCAGTTCAAGTCACAAACTATAGGTATATATAGATATGTAATTTATTATATTTTCTGATGGTTCAAGCTGCAAACTTAAATTTCCATGTACTGAATTATTAACGTCATTCTTGAAATATGTTTTTTTTAGGTATGAAACAACGGGCATTCGCCCAGAACACCTGAGGGACGCACTCCCACTTCGGCAAGTGCAGAGGAAGATTCAAGATTTCCTTTGCAATGGCGAACCGAATTGGAGGATTCGAGCTAGAGGTGGGAATGCCAGAATTCTTGTGGGTCATGGTTTGGACCATGACCTTGATCGTTTGCAGGTTGAATATCCGCCAATAATGATCAGGTAAATTAAAGTTTCTTTCATTTAAATAATCAACTTTAAACAAACTCACAATCCACTTCTGCACTAAACCTATGACAGACGTAAATCTTTTCTTTATAAATTTTTCATGAGCTGACACCGGTGGATGCGTTTAACGATCAGGGATACAGCCAAATATCCTCCATTGATGAAAACAAGCAAGCTCAGCAATTCACTGAAATACTTAACCCAAGCATATCTAGGGTAAGTAACCTTGAAACTGATTTTTATTTTTCAATTAATATGTATGGTTTAACATGTACAATAATAATGCAAATTCTATATATATTTTTATAGGTATGATATTCAAACTGGTGTTCAAGATCCATACGAGGATTGCGTTGCAACAATGAGATTGTACATGAGAATGAAATCTCAAGTACACAGGAGAGAGGAGTATCCACTTGCTTCTGACCCACAAAACCGAAACATTTTTGCAACAGCGCCATGGAGGCAGAATGAGCTTGAGAGGATGAGCCCAGAAGAACTGCTGGCGATCTCTAGATCCGATTACTATTGTTGGTGCTTGGACAGATCTGCCTAGACAGTGAAGGCCACAATAATATAATCAATCAGGCATATATATATATATATACTGAAGGGGTGAAGGTTTCTAAAGTTTTATTAATCACTAGAAATTAATTAAAATAAATAAGATGGCGGCATAGGTTATTATTATCCTTTATTAATTGTAACTTATGCCTAGACAGTGAAGGCCACCAAAAATATAATCAATCAGGCATATATATATATATATATATATATATATATAGTTGTATTATTTATAATTATGCATTGACGAATAAAAGATTTAAGTTGATTAGCAAGAAATTAATCTGTATGACTATCACCTATGATAGCCATTTGAAAGAGTACTATTCATGTAATCTACGACAATTGAGCAACTTTTTGTTGGAAATTGGTCTTCTATGTTGCAACTCATGTTCAAACAAGTTAAATTTGCTAAGTAAGAAAATGGAGAATAAAACAAGATAAAAAAAATGAAAAAGAAGAAATTCTAGACACAATACTTAAATTAAATTGAACTAAAATTCTTGATATATAACAAAGACCCAAACTTGCTCTTTAAATAGGAAATATAACGCACATATAGTACTCAATTTCTTAAACCAATCCACTAAATATTTCATGACTTCATAATGAGTAATATTATACTGATAAATACTTTTTATTAACTTTCTTTCACAAACGCGACGTGTCAGTTAGCAATTGGTTAGTTTATATGGATCTCGTCTGCTTAACAATGAGTTTCGTCTGACCATGCTAATTATGAGTTGTCAAATCGCGTTTGTGAGAGAGTATTTGTCGGACTATCTTTATTCCTCCATAATTCACTAAACCATGACTCCATGACTCTACTAACATAAAAATAGGAATTGACTCCCTAACTCTACTAACATAAAAATAAGAATTAACTCCATGACTCCACTAACATAAAGAAAAAGGAATTAATTAAGCATCACATTTCATCACTCCCCCTTGATGCGAAACCATATACGCGAAGTAGATTCCTGAATTTCACGAACTTGGAGTAAAGGAGAGCTTTGGTAAAACCATCAATAGCTTGTTCGGTGGTTGTGCAATACTTCATCACAATTTCTCCTTCTGCAACAACATCTCTAATGAAGTGGTGACGAAGTTCAATGTGTTTGGTTCTCCTGTGGAAAACTAGATTTTTTGTCATTGAAATAGTTGCCTTGTTGTCACAATAAATCTCCGTGGGATGCTGTTGATCTTTTTGTATATCAACAAGAATTCTCCTAATCCAAATAGCTTGACAAACAGCTGCAGTTGCAACGATATACTCCATTTTCGATGATGATAGTGTTGTGGTAGCTTGCTTCTTCAAACTCCATGAAACAACACCTGAACCAAGACTGAAAATATAGCCACTTGTGCTTTTTCTGTCATTTACAAAACCAGCCCAATCATTGTCAGTAAAACCAACTAATTTAAAATCAGAATTTGGTTTATACCAAATGTCATAGTATGCAGTTGCACAGATGTAATAATGAAGGATCTGTTTGGCTTCTCCAAGATGATGCTTCAAAGGATTGTGCATGAATTTGGAGACTAAACTGACAGGAAACATGATTTCCGAATGAGTTTGAATCAAATACATCAACCCACTAATAATGGTTCTAAACCACTTTTCATTAGCTTTTGTTGTCCCATCATTCATGATCAGCTTCTGACAAGTATTCATAGGTAGAGCTGGGCATTTGGGACCGGGCCCAAAAGCCTAGCTCGAAAACCCGATCCTAGGACGGGTCCTCGAGAGGACTGAACCTAGGAGGCTTAGTCCCAAAACGGGAGCAGGCCTAAGGAGGAGGGCCCGGGCCCAAAAAAATTTGTATTTTTTCAATACAGTCCCCTGCCAAATTACATAAAACCCTCTGTTAATTTGAAAATAAATATAAATTAAGAGGGCTAAAATAAAATTTTACAAAATTTATAAAAAAAAAAAAAAAATCTTACAGGTCTAAAAAATTTATAAATTTTACCCCTAAAAAATACTAAAAACCCCCCATAAAATTTTATTTTGCCCCCAAAATATAAAAAAAAATTGAGGGGGGAAAAATTAATTATCCAAGCCCCATGGGACTGGTCCTAGGACCGGTCTTGGGCCCATAGGACCAGTCCCTACCAGGCCTAAGGCCTGGTTCGAGTCCTAATTTTTCTCATGGGCTTGGGACCATGAGTGACTGGTCCCATTTGGGACCAGTCCCAAACGGGCCCAGGCCTAGGCCTGCTTGGGACTGGTCCCTACCCACCTCTATAATCATAGGTGTAGCAGCAACTTTGCAATTTAACATATTAAATTTTTTAAGCAAGTCTGCAACATACTTTTCTTGTGAAATAAAAATGTCATGCTCTGCTTGTTGAATTTGAAGACCAAGAAAATAATGCAGCAACCCCAAATTCGTCATATCAAACTCATACATCATGTTTTCTTTGTATTCTTTAATAAGAATATTAGTAGAACCCATGTATATAATGTTGTCCACATATATGCCAACAATAATCACATAATAACTGTTCACCTTCACATACAAGTTAGGCTCGTTGTCGCTTTGAAGAAAACCATTTTGCTGGAGATAGGAATCAGGTCTGTCATACCATGCTCTCGATGCTTGCTTGAGATCATAAAAAAGCCTTCTTCAACTTATAAACTTTTTCTTGCTTGCCAGTAATAATAAAACCTTGTGGTTGATTTACATACACATCTTCATTCAAAGCATTGTTTAAAAATGCAGATTTGACATCAAACTGGTAAATATTCCATCTTATTTGAGCTACTAGTGCCCCAATAATTCTCACAGTTTCAAATCTAGCAACAGGAGAAAACGTTTCAAAAATAATCAACCCCACTCTGTTGTATGTACCCTTTTGACGACCAACCTTGCCTTGTATTTCTACACACTCCCATCAGCATGATACTTCACCTTGTAGACCCACTTCACGCCAATAGTATATTCTTCCCCTGTGGCAAGTCCACGAGCTCCCATATGTTGTTTCTTTCAATGGATGTCATTTCCTCTTTCATGGATTTCTCCCATCCTTCATTTCCAGCAGCTTTATCATAAGTTGTGGGCTATATAATAGAATAAGTGAATGTATAAATTTTTCTCAGGGATCGAAACTTCCTTGGAGGAGTTTCACTATCAGGGGATGATTGACCACCATTACTTTTAGACTTTTAAGGAGTAGATGAGGACTAATTCGAGGTTGTTGGGTTCTACACTGGAGACGATGAAGGTGACACTGCTTGCTCCCTTGGTTGTACTAATTCTGGCAACACTTGTGTAAAGGGTAAGTGCTGATTTTCTTCATTGTTCCATTGCCACCTGCTACTTTCATCAAACACAACATCTCTATGAATGATTAACTTCTTTGTGTTAGGATTATACAAACGATAGCCTTTTGTTTCATCACTGTACCCCACAAAGATACATTTTTGACTCTTCTTATCCATCTTAGCACGACGGTTGAGTCAATTAAATCATATGCAACACAACCAAAAAGTTTCAAACCACTTACATTGGACATAATCTTCCACCACGCCTCATAAGGTGTCTTATTCTTCACTGCCTAATTGATTTGAGAAATGTTGAGAAGATCAACTAATGTAGCTACTGCTTCAACTCGAAAAGGGTAACTTCTTCTCAATCAACAAAATTCATGCCATTTCTACTACCGTTTGATTTTTCCTCTCGGCAACGCTGTTTTGGAGTTTTCCTTACAGTCAGCTGCTTAAGAATACCCATTTCTTTGCAAAACAGATTGAACTCATTAAATAAAAATTCTCCCTCTTTGTCTATTCTAAGAGTTTTGATTGCAGAACCACTTTGCTTTTCTACAAAAGCTTTGAACTCCTTAAACTTTCCAAATGCCTTTGATTTCTGACCAAGAAAAATCACTCAACCCATAGGAGAGAAATCATCAGTAAACAAAAGAAACTATTTACTCTTATTCAAAGGTAACGTTCTAATTGGCCCATAAATGTCATCATGAACCAACTCCAAAGACATCTTGGCTCTCCAAGCCTTCACAACAAAAAAGTCAACTTGTGTTGCTTTCCATAAACACAACCTTCACAAACACTATTAAAAATAGCAATAGATGGCAACCTCGACACCATATTTTTCTGACTCAACAATTTCAGCCCATTAAAATGCAAAGAGCAAACAACATGTTCCTACCCAAGGTTAGGGCTGCCAAAAAAAAAAAAAAAAAAATTGGAAACAAAACCGAACCGAAACCGGTCCGAAAAACCGGTTAACCGGTTTCAAAAAATGGCTAAACCGGTTTTTCGGTTCAGTTTACGGTTTATATCACTTTCTAAACCGGTTTAATAAACCGGCTTTCTTATAATTTTAATATAATAATATTATTTTCATTTTTAAAAATCCTTTATTATCTAAAATCCAAAATACCCAAATTAATATTAGTTTGAACTTTGAAATCCCTAACAACTACACAGTACACACTCGACGTATACCTCCTCTCCTCCTCTCAAACTCGCTGGTTGTAGGCCCGTCGCTGCCCTCTCCACTCTCCATTGTCTCCAAGACTCTAGTCACTGCTGCCTTCTCCAGTCTCCAAAGGTGTAACATCTTCTTCTCAAACTCGTCTCTCCTCCTCCTGTCCTCTCCTCTCAAACTCGTCGGCTGCCGCTGCCCTCTCCAGTCTCCACTCTCTAAGACTCCAGTCGCCACCGCTGCCCTCTCCAGTCTCCAAAGGTGCAACATCTTCTTCCTAAATTTCTACTTTTTAAACTACAGGAGGTTTCTGTTTTGACTTTGGTGTTTCCTAATATTTTTTTATGCTTCTGTTGTTGTGAGATAATTATATATGGTTTATTACACAGCATGAAAGCATGGGACCTATAGGAGGTTTCTCTCAATTTGTATTTTATTATGAGCTCTTCACTTCTGTCAAAGCATTAGATAATAGCAAACTTCTATCAGAATCCTTATAAAAATCATGTTCAGTTTATTTTTCCTTCTAGAATTGTAGTCGGTTGA